ACTCCTCCGATCGCCGGGTCGGATGCGTCTACTGCGATACTAATGGGTGCTTCGGTGTCCTGATGTGCGAGCATTGTTACTTTAGCGATCAGTTCCTTAATTGTGGAGAATGCTTTTCGTGTGGTGTCGTCCAAATTAATGGATTTCGCATTTCCACGAAGTTGGTCGGTAAGAGGTTTCATGAGTAATGCTCAATTCAGTATGAAGCGTCTATAGAAACTTACAAGGCCGATAAACGTTCGTAATTGCTTGACGCTGGTCGGTTTTGGGTAATCCAGAATGGCCGCCACTTTGGTCCTAAGAGGTCGAATGCCTTGAGCATCGATAGTGTGTCCTAGGAAGTCTAACGAGTCGGTCCCTATTCGGCATTTCTGAACGTTTACAGTTATGCCATCTTTTTGTAATCGTTCGAAAACAAGATCCAGATGCCTGAGATGTCATTCTCTGTCCGGACTTGCGATTAGGCCGATTCGTTAAGCCGGTCGTTAGGATTTGCTGGGAGAACGCTAACTTCTGCGCCAGTGTCGACGAGGTAGCGAACTCTCGTTGTCACATCTGTGACGTATAACAGACGGCTATGTTTGCCGGCTACGGTTGCCGTTAACGCGTGCCGGCTTGGAAGTTTCCCGAGTTGTTTTTCGAGTCACTCAGTTTCGTGTTGGGAAAATTGCAGGGTTTTCTGCAATTTCTGGGAAACTTTCCATACTGGTTATGATACCAGCACCAGTCGGGATTATCCGTCTCTCGTGGCCTAGAGACAGATCACTTACGTGAAATGCTTCTACGTGGGCTGTGTGAGTGATTACGGTCGTTACGAAGAATAAGATAACGCGTGAGTGTAGGACATAACTCGTATATGTCATTCTGAGTTGTGTGAGGCTTTTCTTTGACTGAAAATACCTCTGTAGTAGACGATTTCGTTATTTCCAAAATACGGTCGGCAGATGCAGCTAGCTCGTCGAAGGCGTTGTTCTGAAACGAGATCAGAACTGCTTGCACCCGTTGAGGAAGTTTGGATAAGAAAAGTTGCTTGAATAGACCTTCGTCGAAATTTCTTAGGCCTATCACTTCTCTCATTCTTTGCAACATGTCCATCGCAGAACCGTGTTGCAGGTCAATGTTATTGAAGAGTTGATCTAACCTTTGTCGATCGGTCAGGTCTCCTCTTTTAAGAATCGAGCGTCTTAAGATTTCGTAAGGTTCGAAAAAATCACTGATGAACATACTAGGTGTTACGTACCTGTTGAATTCGCGCGGTAGTGCCTTGACTACTGCGAAGAATTGTGCACGTGTGTAGATCACGCCGTGCTCGGAAAAGTCGGCTTCTGTGTAGCAAAACCAGGCTTCGATGTTGTCGGGCCAGAAAGGCATGAGTTGAAACGAAGGCGGGGACAAAGTCTTAAGCTTGAGTTCTTTGGATGTCTGTTCAGTCATGATGAAATATGAAGTGCGATAATGAACGAGGGGAAAATATATATATATCCAAGAAAAAAGTCACAATGTTTAAAAAAATAAAAAATAAGGCAATGATATATAAAAAAATTTCAAAAAGGAACAGACTCACAGTTGCAATTAAGTGTACCAGATCACGTCGGTCTCACCAATGAAGAATGACACAGGTGGTGGAGAAGATTTGTAGCTCAGGTGGATGATTTTGGTGGTGTTTTGTTCTCTGAGCTGGATGGTTTGGTCGTGGAGCTTTCATCGTTCTTCTGAACGACATCATCAGCACAAACTTCAGATAGAAGTGAAGTGTTCGAATTTCTCCATATGTGTTTCACAGCTTGTTCTGTGCACCTCGATGTTGATTGGTTCTTGTTGACCTTAAATTTATCATTGTTTACTTCTTTGTTTTGGTTGTGTCTCCCATTGGTTTGATTTTTGTTCCTATATTTATGCATGATTTTCCTGATTGGTTGATAAATTGGATTGATTTCAATATGTTTGTTGATTGCTGATTGACCTGAGTGCCAAGCTTCTAAAAATTCTCTGGTGTTTTTGGAGTTTCCTCTGTCTAAGATTTCTACATTTTCCCAATCGAATGAATGTCCGTAGTTATCCACGTGTATTGATATAAGTGAAGAGATATCATGGCGTTTGACTGCTAATTGATAAATTTAAGGTCAACAAGAACCAATCAACATCGAGGTGCACAGAACAAGCTGTGAAACACATATGGAGAAATTCGAACACTTCACTTCTATCTGAAGTTTGTGCTGATGATATATAAAAAAATTCCAAAAAGGAACAGACTCACAGTTGCAATTAGGTGTACCAGATCACGTCGGTCTCACCAATGAAGAATGACACAGGTATTCAGTGTTTGACAACGCTTCTACCAGTAACACCTTCTAATATAATTTGTACACACCGAGAGAAATCAAAAGACAGAGTCGAGGAGATCGGAAGAGTGTATTTGGAGATAACCAAAATATCGGAATTCTCTGATCTAATCTGGCTAGCGATTGCGGTTGATGTTTAGCACGGCGTTACCACACGTGATTTGGTGCGGATGCCTGACCGAGCGCCTTCAGCTAGATGAGTCCACTAAAACATATGGTCAGCATCCAATGTCGAAAACTTACAGGTCTATTTATTTTGGGATTTATTTACCGCTACAGGTGGAATAATTCAAGCAACTCTTGAATAGACCAGCTTTGTTGAGTCCATCAGAGATCGAAGCAGCACACACTGACCTTCTTATATATGTCACTCTTAATAATGAAACAAAGACCTCTGAACTGTGTGCATTTACGAATATGATTTAATAATCCGTGAATTCTGTCCAATTCACCGCATTGAATATAACATCACACCACGTTCTATCATCATTTCTCTTACATCCGATAACATTTTCAAAGTAGAATTTATTACTTCTTTGATATCAATGTAAACAACGTGTGCATTTTCTTAACAAACATATTTGTGTTGACCTCGTTTGTTTATAGAAACACTAATGATCATACTTTGTTTATCATTGATCACCTCATTCCATCTCATAATGAGATCATATGGTATTGTCTATACTCTATTCTGTCTAGTGGGTGTAATATAAATCTTAGTTAGAATAAAATATTTCGCTTCATAATAATCTGTTCATGTGACTGACAAAATGATTAGAATTCTCAAGTTATATAAGATTACTACTTCCGTTAAGGAAAATCAAGTGAAAACAATCACTGTTGTGGTATTTATTAAACTCTTGTGTCCAATCTTCATGGCATTTATTCGCTGAGGTACCTGTAGTTTCATGTTGTTCAACTGTGTGTCAGAGATCCGCATTATTGTATGGTAAGTTTGCAGCTGGCCAACACACTGGTAACAGACATATATATGTATCACATTGTATTTTAGCTACAGATAAATTCATGGAAACGGACTGCTGATTACATCTCTTATCTCAGTGGAACGATCGCCGTTTGCTCGTTCATTTCGTTTGGAATCACCAAGTGACTTCACCAAACAGGAGTATATCATCTTCGCATTGTAAGTCGATAAGTGGACCTCTAGGAAGAAGATCAATGCCGAGAAATCAATCGACAAGAACGTTATTTCCATCAGTAGGTCTATGATGAAGTTAAACAAAAATAGAGAAAGTGGACAACCTTCACAGACACCGATTGATGTCGCAAAATCAGATGACAGTACGCCATAAGCTCTGACTCCACTAGTAGTGTTCGAGTAAAGAGCCTTCACAAGGTTTATGTACTTCTGATGTGAGCCTTTCAATGACAGACACTGTCACAGCACCTCTCGATCCACAGAGTCAAATGCTGCTTTTTAATCAAGAAAAACTATCATCAGTACTCATTCATATATATATACCACTCTAATCCTTAGGAAATTGATCCATTTCACAGACAATGAAATGAAAATGTCTTTCGGGTCACTTGTGATTGCCATCGGTTAATATTCGCCTTGGACTACTTCTGATTAGCTCTCCATATCAACATATCTCTTATTCATTATAGTTATCTAATTATGAAAATATGTCACTAATCTTTTATGTAACTACAGTATAATTTCCATACAAAAGCTTTCAGGAGTATTGCACAACTTTCCTAATTGGTTGGGACACGTGTTACTTATTCCCAAACACCGCCCGCCTCGACGTGTGATGTTTTATTGTGTAGGAGTTGGTTGAAAGAAAACTATGATCGGCCAGAACAAAGCATACCACAAATTCATGAAGTCACTGACGAGTTTACTGAGACATGTTGGTAGACGTATACTGCCTTGTTAAGATCCGCAAGACGATAGGAAATAATGGTTAGAGATCTTGAATGACATGGCTGAAAATCGTTTGCAATGATGCAGGTGCATCCATTCTTTGTGTTCTCCCAAATTCTAATCTTCTGAATTATTCATGTCCCTCTATTTTTTTCTCCTTTGAAATTTATTTCACTGGATTATAATCCTTGAATTACATTTTCGAAACCTAATGTTTCCGATTACTGCTGATACTTTTACTACCTCTACCACTATGGGATTTGAATGGACAATTGTATCTGTGTGCTGATGTGGTATAGCAACTTGAACTGATGTGCGTACTTACGTAAGTAAGAAATGGTAATTTGTTACTGACTGACTGTCTGACGGACTGAACAGTAACCATAGTAAAGTTTGTCTAATCACATTCCGAGTTTATTCGTTTGAGTTAAGAAGCTGTTGGTTCACGTAGAATCTATAGCACTACCCAATAATATTGATTTAGTCTACACTCATAAATATCTAAATAAATCAATTATTCTTCCCAGAAACATTCTACAATTAACATTAAAGAGTAAAGTTAAAATGAACACTGATACGATGGATGTCATACATACCAATGCTAATTATAATGAGATGAATGATATTTTAAGAAAACACTTATTTAAAAAGAAATAAAGACAAACTTGATCTTCATGTCATAGAAATTAATTCACACAATTGTTTCTAACTACTTTTATCGATATAAGTAGTTAAATATGAATAAAATTTGATAGTAACCAATTTCTCACAGCATGTTCATGTGATTGTTTCACAGAAAATGTAGCATAATTGGGCAAATTTTCACATGAATCATCAATCTTTTCTCCATTTTCTTCAGTATTCTTTGCAGTGGTCTGTAAAAGACTCAATTCAGTTGAAGTATTTGGAAAGATTCTTTCATCAATCATATTATCATCATCATCTTCGTCGATGGGTGAAGATTTGAGTTGATTTTTAACTTGTATTAGTAATGATTGAAGATGATCTAACTTCTTTCGAACTTCATCTATTTCATTTTCATCAAGACTAGATATTGAATGTGGAGATTTTTCTTTTAGCATATAAGAACATGGTGGAGACAATGGACTCATCCTATTCCTTATGTAAATTGAAGAAAAACAGAAAACATGTATGGTTGATAATGATCAAGAGAAAAACGAACACGTATGAAGTTGCAACTGTTATTCAAAACCATTAAATCAAGAAATTAGGTTGCAATGCCTGTCGAGTTCATTAGGACCCAACTTTCGAAGCAGCAAGCGGAGCTTCCAAGCATCATCCTGATTAGCAAAGTCGAATTTGAATAAGTCTTCGTAACGTGGAAACCACATATCAAACGTGACATTGAATTCTGGATCGTAATGAAACTCGGAAGCACTGTTAGCGATGACGATGATGACCCCGGACATCATGTTCATCTCCACTTTATAAATATATATTTGCTACATTGTGGTAGATCGAATCGTCTTTTTTGATAGCACCCTGACCATATATGCCTCTATAGTCCTTCTAAGAAATGTTCCAGATCGATTCGTGAATATCTACAATACTGAGGTGTGAAGGCAGTTACGACCAGATAAATTTCAATTCGGAACTGTTAAGTAAATCAAACTCACAGAATCTTGTGATTTTGGTGGAATAACATGAATCTAATTACGTTAGCTGCATAACACCAATGTCTTCTGAATGATACACGAATCGAACTACTATTGAACATTTGCTTGAATACATCAATCTATTAAATGAGTGAATAGCAAAGTATCACAGTATTCAACCTGTGAAGATTTCATATATTCAAAACAAAAACCGGAATGTGTACTTCTGTGTTGATCAAACACAAAGATAACCATGTGTGATACATCATCAAGGAGATTGATGTTTGAAGTCACGAATTATGATTGAATTGTGATTCATTGGTTTATTTTCATAGGTTACATGTTAAGACTGAAAGGCTGAGTGAACAATAGCATGTAAAGAAAAGCTGTGATTGAGTCCCGAATTGTATCGACATATAGATTGTTGTATATTTATCAGAATTTCCCTAGTTAGCATAAGTCAGCAATGGGAAACACGAGTAACGTGGAATGAATAATCATACAGCCGTGATGTATACTACTTTACTCTGTCGACATAAGTAGTTTGTAACAGTGATTGGAAGTGGAAAACCAGACACCAGAAGGTTAAGAAGATCGAGTTGAAGGGAATATAAGGGAGAAAGGAGAGTGTGGACTGGAGCAGTGATGCAGAATGTGATGGACAAATGATGGAAATTCGCAAATGAAGTATTCAATGCAATGGTTGTGATATTTTATCAAGGTTGCCAAATGCCCTGGTGGTATGGCCGAGAGTGTATGTATGAATGGATGGAAATAGTTAACTATTTTAGCATTCCTAAGGTACTGTCTCAATCAATATTCATTGAATCGTAGATAAAGTGGCCTAATGAAGTAAATTATCACGGCGAGTTGTCAATTTCCAAACCCACTTCATACAAACACCACAAACCTGTATATCGCTTGCTTTGAGGAATAGGATTTGCAAAGACAATTGCGAATTCTGTCTGATTCATCGTATTGAATATAACATAACACCACGTTCTATCATCATTTCTCTTTACATCCGATAACATTTTCGAAGTAAAATTGATTACTCCTTCTTCATTCTCAGTGTAAACAACGTGTTTGTCTAATGAACAAAACATAATTGTGTTGACCTCTTCGTTGTTTAGAGAATCAGCTATGATCATACTTTGTTCATCATTGATCACCTCATTGCATCTCATTAATCAATAAATAATATGGTATTCTCTATTGTGTATCGTGGGTGTCATATGAATGTTGGTTGTTGTTTATTTGGCTGACATAAAAACGGAGTGAAATTCTCATTTTGCATATTATTATTACTACTTTTCTAAAAAGAAGATGAAGTGAAAGCAAATGTTCTGGTTGTCAATTCATAGATAGTCTTGCTCCAGCTATGAATAAACACAGTAACCATTCACCGATTAATTTCAAATGATTGTAGTGGTGGTCGTTTATTTTCATAAAATCATACAGTTTCACCTCCGTGATTTATCAATCTGTGAAATGTCCATTAATAAATTTGATTCTTTAAATGTCGACTAGTTGTCACGTCCTGTGTATCATTGGTGAAGGAGACTGTGGAGAGTAATCTTGATTAAATAATCCACAACACGTTCTGTGTATCTTTTTATACTAATCACTGTGACGGATACACTCATTGTTAGCCGATATTCTGGATAAACACATTTGACTATTACCCAAGTGTATGCTTTCATTGAACAATAATTAAGGTTGGATATCATAGTTTAATGGACGTTTAATGGAATCCTATGTGTGGCTGGATTCGTTCAGGCATATCAGTTGATGTTGAAATTTGTCTTCCATTTTCTACAGAATTAAGATGGATTTACCCCATAAAGAAGCATTCTTATTACAGATGTTGGGAACGTTAGATCCCCAGAACTAACTTGGAAAAGGACCTCATCTTTAATTTTATTTAGAAAATTTGAATTTATTTGTTTTTGCGTTCTTGTCACCTTCATGTGGTATTTCCCAGTTGGGAAATATCTTAAATGCTGTTGATTCAATGCGTCTTTCAGTATGCTACTTGATAAGTTACACCGAGGACGGTTTTGTGCTGTATACATATGTTTTGATTTATGATTATTGTTGTCGCTGGTTTCTGGCTGTTTGCAGAATAAACGTCCTCATTTTAAGCTTGGAATTGTTCCTCTAGTTAGCGGGGCTGGGGTGCATCACAATGTCTAGCTTATTGGTCTTTGGTCACTGAGTCTTTGTTCTCGTTAGCAGATTAAGTGAACTCGTAATAGCTTGAGACCTAGCAACAGAAGACTGCAGTTAACACGAAACTGCTTTGACAAGACAATGCACATAAATTCCTATTCAAGTCATTCCTGTAGTTCGTCTAAGGTTATTGCAGATCATATATCCAAGTAAATGAGGACGGTTTAATATGAAGTCAGCATTTCCATAATTCAGAAAGCAAAGTCGCTAAAAATATGCCAAACACAAGAAACAAATTATAGCATACGAACTGTGACCTGGAATTTAAAGGATGTTCTTGCACCACAACTGTGATGGTTCATGGCGAGGCCTGAACGCCAAAGTAGGAATGTATAACACCGGCTTTGAAAATACCATGGGACTAAGAGAAATAATTGGAAATGGAGAGAGATCTGTAAATCCGTGTGCATTCAACAAATTAATTATAGGCATCACAACATCTCCACACAAGTGCATTCACAAAGCTACACGGATCTCACCGGATCACTCTGCATTGAATCAGACAGATCAAGATAAAAAGAAACAGGAAGAAACCAATCAACAACAGCCGAACAATAACATAGGAAATGAAGGCCCGAGCTGAATAAAAGGAAGCAAAATAGCAAGTGAAGAGGAGCATTACAGCCAACAAGCAAACGTACGTGGAAGACCCAGCAACGAGAGCAGATAAAGCTGTAGCTGCAAAAAACATGAAACAACTATACGAAACGACAAACAAACTGGCAGGAAAATATAGAAAACCAGGGTGACCGGTAAAGGACAAAGTAGTCAAGCCAATCAATGAGATTCAAGATCAGAAGAATAGATGTGTGTGAAAAATGACACAGTTATTCAGTGTTTGACAACGCTTCTACCAGTAACACCTTCTAATATGATTTGTACACACCGAGAGAAATCAAAAGACAGAGTCGAGGAGATCGGAAGAGTGTATTTGGAGATAACCAAAATATCGGAATTCTCTGATCTAATCTGGCTAGCGATTGCGGTTGATGTTTAGCACGGCGTTACCACACGTGATCTGGTGCGGATGCCTGACCGAGCGCCTTCAGCTAGATGAGTCCACTAAAACATATGGTCAGCATCCAATGTCGAAAACTTACAGGTCTATTTATTTTGAGGATTTATTTACCGCTACAGATCACCCCCCCCCCTAGTGTGTTAGTGATGACCCTAAGACGTGGCCAGCCAGAAGTTTAAACATTCTTCTGATAGCTTGCTAGGATTAGCAGCGTCTGGTCGTCTTTCCTTACTATATAGGACCGAGGTACAACATAGTAAAAAAAGAAAATGTACAATGAAAATTTCAGTTCCTTATAAACGTCATCGTTTTTTTCCTGCCAGCCTGGAAAAGAAAAAAGAAAATGTAAGTGCATGTCGAAATACATTCTTATGTGTGTAAAAACACAATGTCGGCGAAAAAATTGGAATGTAAACTAATTTACACGTAATATCGTTAAAAAAATTTGTCTTTTTTGTTTTTTTTGGAATAAAATGTCGAGTAGTGCTTTACGTGCAGTAGTCGTTTAAATATTCTGGAAATCTAACTCTTCTTCCAGAATGCGTCGTTTTAGGTTTATTTTCAGATACTGTCGAAGTATCATCGTGTGTGCTGGTTGTCGGTTGAGGAATTATGAGTGTAGGAGTCGTGTTGTGCGATTGTACTGAAGGAAAATCGACGTAGATAGGATTTCCTTCTAAATATGCTGCTTTGAGGCGATCGATGATGATGCTATCGTTGGTTCCGTTCTTATCGATTATATAGTACTTCGGTTCGCGTTGAAGAACTTTGAAAGGTCCTTCGTATGCTGATTCGAAAGGTTGTCGATGCGAGTCTCGATGAATGAAAACGTGTATACTATATCGTAAGTCAGGTTGAACAAAAACATCGGTTGATTATGGTCGAGTGGAAGCAGGTTTAACTGAACGCATTGCGTTTGTAAGCCTGTTCGTGTAGGAGGTTAGATCCATGTTCATTGAAGAGGATGAAGGACCCACGAATTCTCCTGGAAGTCGAAGTGTCGTTCCATAAACGAGTTGAGACGCAGTGTCTCCAATGTCAGCTTTCACTGCATTGCGCATACCTAGTAAAACAAGTGGAAGAGCGTCGGTCCACTGTGAAACATTTGCAGCTGATAGTAAAGCTTTTAGTTGTCGGTGAAAGCGTTCTACCAACCCGTTTGCTTGTGGGTGGTAGGCAGTCGTTCGGAAGCGAGTGGTTCCTAAAAGTGTGGTCAAATGACGGAAAAGATCAGATTCGAACTGAC